AAAAAAAAAAAAAAAAGAAGTACAGCAGTTGGCATAATGGCTATGTCGCTGAACACCCATGTAGTCAACTGCGGTTCTAGTCCCAGACCCAGTGGCTTAAACTCACACCGGGTGTGTGTGCGTGCGTGCCCAAGATCCCGAGAGGAGAATGGAGGAGAAGGGATTGGAGCATGGACATCCCCGCTGGGGGGGTGATTTCTCGCTTTCTGTCTCTCTGTCTGTCTCTGTCTCTCTGGTGAGCGCACGCGCCCTGTAGCAAAAACCTCTCCAAAAAAAAAAAAAAAGAAGTACTAAAAGCCCTTCAGGAGCTGCTCCTGGGGATGTGGTTCTGAATGGCTGGTGTAAGTCTCTGAGGCTAGGGAAGAGCTCTTGGATACTAGCTTCTCCCCCAGTGAGAGAGGAAACTGGGAATTAGGAAAGTGCTCCTTTGCAGTAAACCCGCAGTGAACGGGCCACAGTTTACAGAGCCGTGGAAGCTGTGGCACGCGTTCGCTGTAGCCGTCTCTCTCCCACCCAGGGAAACCAGCAGTGCTCGGGTTCCATTACACTATCCTGGGGTTCCACCTAGGGTCCCTCCTGCAGATGGTACGCTACCTGCCCGGCCTGGAAAAACACCAGACTGCATGTAAGCCAGGGTTCCAATTCGAAAAGAGAATCTGCTTGCTTTACCGCTTGCTTCTCCTCCGTAAGACACCTGCATTTGATTCAATTCCAAAATGTTCTGAGAGACTTTGGTTCTATTTAAAGAATATTTTTAGTTTTTAGCCAAAGGGCACGTGTGTTCGCTGGAGAGAGACAGAGAGAGGGAGAGTGAGAAATCATCTCCCAGGGGGATGGTCATGCCACAGTCTCCTCTCCTCCATTTTCTTCTTGGGATTTGGGGCATATGCACACATACCTAGCGTGATTTTCAAGCCACCAGGCCTGGAACTCAAACCACAGTTGGCCATGTGGGAGTCCAGCATCTTTTTTTTTTTTTTTAAATTTAAATTTATTTGTTTACATTCATTCACTACACATCATTACAGCTTACAAAATGAGGTTTTCCATTCAGAGTACACTGTATATTGGCTCAGTCAAGCACATCAACATATGTGTTATCGTCAACAAATCATTTTCCATTTCTTCTTTCCTGTATATTTTGCTTTTTTTTTTTTTTTCCATCCTTGATTCCCTATTTCTCACCCATTGCCATGTCCCACACTGTCTTTGGGATGCATGGTTGCCTTTTTTTTTTTTTGGAGAGGTTTTTGCTACAGGGCACGTGCGCTTGCCAGACAGAGAGAGACAGAGAGACAGAAAGCGAGAAATCACCCCCCAGGGGAGATGGCCATGCCACCATCCCTTCTCCTCCGTTCTCCTCTTGGGATCTTGGACACACACGCACATGTGCCGGGTGTGAGTTTTAGGCCACTGGGTTCGGGACGCGAACAGCGGTCGCCCACATGGGAGTCCAGCAACGTAGCCATTACACTAACTGCTGGTCCCGTCCATGGTTTCTTTCTATGCATTTTCTCCCTATTTTATTAATTCGCTAACCCAGAGTCCAGCACCTTAACCACCATGCCACTTGCTGGCCCAGGTAAATTTTTAAAGGGTTGTTTTATTTTAACTTTATTTATTAATTTTAATTTGATTAGAGAGGGACAGAATGAGAAAGAGAGAAAGAGAAAGTGAGAAAGCAAGCTGCCAGGTCTGAGACTCAAACTGTAGTCAGCCATGTGGGAGTCCAGTGCCCATAACCACTGTGCCACCTGCCGGCCCCCTAAGTAATATTTTTAAAGAAAAGGATGGAAAAAAATTAATTTCTGATCTGGCAATTCCTGACATCTTTTGTTTTCATCTCCCATGTGTACTCATGAACAAGTAGATAGTTTCGTTCTCTTCCTTCTTTCTAGACCAAACATTAAATTGGGTAGTGCAAAGATGCTGAGTTAGGAACAAATACAATTTTGATTTATTACGCAGCAGCCCTAAAATTTTAAAATGTATTATGTATGCTTTATTTTGAATATTACATATTATAGTACATAAATGTAATTAGCCAATAAATGTATAGACTGCTGGCTAAATGCGCAAAAATCTATCCATGGGCTGCATGACTTAAAAAAGGTTAGAAGAGGGACCAGCAGTTAGCGTAATGGCTATGTCGCTGGACTCTCATGTAGTCGACTGCGGTTTGTGTCCCAGATCCGGTGGCTTGAAACTCACGCCGGGTGCGTGTGTGTGAGTGCCCAAGATCCCGAGAGGAGAATGGAGGAGAAGGGATTGCGGCGTGGCCATCCCCCCTGGGGGGTGATTTCTCGCTTTCTGTCTCTATGTCTCTCTCTGTCTGTCTGGTGAGCGCATGCACCCTGTAGCAAAAACCTCTCCAAAATAAAAGTTAGAAGATACTGTTCTTGTTAATGATGTTAATATGTCTTGTAATCTCAGGCCAGCAGGGCATAGTGGTTAAGGTGCTGGACTTCCACATGGCAGACCATGGTTCGAGTTCTGGACCCTATGGCTTAAAAACCATGCCATGTACATCTTGTTTGAGAATCCAGAATCCCACGAGAACAGCCAACTTTCCTGGGGGATGATTTCTCACTTTCCCTCTCACTGTCTCTCTCTCTGTCTCTTTCAGGCAAGTACACATGCCCTCTAGCAAAAACCTAAAAAATGAAAAAATAAAGAAAAATAAAGGGTTTGTAAACCATGGACATGCAGAAACAAATTAAAAGATAAAAGTGAAATCAGCACTCTTCCAAATAGTGAGAGAAAAAAAATGACTTAGCAATCCAGAAAAGCTTTTGCATAAACATGACTTTAATACTCTGAAAAAAAAAAAAAAATCTAGTGACTCCCCGAGACAGGATATGCCTCATGTTCAGTCAGTGGTCCAAACAGGTAGGTTTAATTATTGGTTTATCTTGGATCTATTGGTTTTAGCTTATAGTTTCTTATTAACTTTAAGGGGAAGTTTGCATGCTAAGAACAGGCTACGCCTTTTAAAACCCAACCAGAAAGACAAGAAAAATGAATAGAACAGAAGAGATCATTTCATCTGCTCAGTCCTATTGGAGTCCCGCCTCTGAAAGTGTCCCTTCATTCCAATTTCTATTACTGACTCATAAAATGCACACAGGAAAGCCTTTAAAAACACAAAACTCATCTTTTTTTGAGAGAAAGAGATTTTTGCTATAAGGCACGGGTGGTCGCCGAGGAGATAGAGAGAGACAGAGAGACAGAAAGTGAGAAATCACCTCCCAGGGGGGATGGCCACACCGCAATCCCTTCTCCTCGCCGCAATCCCTTCTCCTCCGTTCTCTTCTAGGGATTCTGGGCAAGCACTCACACACAGTTTTTTTTCTTAATTTAATTTAATTTTTTATTTATTCATTCATTTATTTTAATTTGACCAGAGAGAGAGATACAGAGAGAGAGAGAGGGAAAGTGAGAAAGCAAGCCACCAGGCCCAGGACTTGAACCGTGGTCAGCCATGTGGGAGTGTCCAGCACCTTAACCACCATGCCACCTGCTGGTCCCCAAATTTTTTTAAGGCACACACAGTTTTAAGCTGCTAAGCCTGGGACTTGAATTGACCGCATGGGAATCCAGCGATGTATCCATTCCACCATCTGCTGGTCCCACAAAGCCAGTTTAAAGAAACAGGACCACTTTTTGAAGAAAACCCAGGCTCACACCACTTGACCTATTTCAATGTCAAAAGGCCACATCTAGGAATTCATTTTTATTATTATTTTAAATTTTCTTTCTTTTTTATTTTTGGAGAGGTTTTTGCTATAGGGCGTGTGTGCTTGTCAGAAAGACAGAGACGGAGAGACAGAAAGTGAGAAATCACCCCCCAGGTAGGATGGCCACGCCACAATCCCTTCTCCTCCATTCTCCTCTCGGGATCTTGGGCACGCATGCACATGCACCCAGCATAAGTTTAAGCCACTGGGCCCAGGACTTGAACCGTGGATCAACTACATGGGAGTCCAGCGACATAGCCATTATGCCAACTGCTGGTTCCTATTATTTTTAATTTTCTATAGGGCATGTGTGCTTGCTGTAGACAGAGAAGGGAGAAAGTGAGAAAAAAAAGGGGGATGGCCATGCCACAATTCCACTCTTCCATTTTCCTCTTGAAATTTTGAGCACGTATGCACATGCGCCTGGTGATTTTCAAGCCGCAGGGTCCAGGACTCAAACTGTACAGTAGGCCTCTGGGATTAGCCTCCTTAACCACCATGGCCCAGCTGACCCGACATCTGGGGATTACTTTTATATTGACAGAGACATCTTTTATTTATTTTTCTTTTTTTGGAGAGGTTTTTGCTATAGGGCGTGTGCGCTCACCAGACAGACAGAGAGAGACAGACAGAAAGTGAGAAATCACCCCCCCCCCAGGGGGGGATGGCCACGCCGCAATCCCTTCTCCTCCATTCTCCTCTTAGGATCTTAGGCACGCACGCACATGCACCCGGCGTGAGTTTAAGCCACTGGGTCCGGGACTCGAACCGCGGTCGACTACGTGGGAGTCCAGCGACATAGCCATTACGCTAACTGCTGGTCCCAAAAGAGACATCTTTGAAAGGGCTCTGGTGGTCAAGCCCACACCCATGAACACTGTAGGTGAAACTTTCCCATAAAGGCCAGTGGCTCATCCTGAATTTTTTAAATAATTATTTATTTAATTTATTTATGTATTCATTCATTTATTTCTTAATTTGACCAGAGAGAGACAGAAGGTGAGAGTCAGAGAGAAAGGAAGTGAGAAAGCAAGCCACCAGATTCAGGACTCGAACCCTGGTCAGCCATGTGGGAGTGTCCAGCGCCTTAACCACCACACCACCTGCTGGTCCCATCCTGAAATTTTACTGAGCAGGCCCAGGACCAATCAGGTCTATTTTCCCAACTTTTAGACATTGCAAGCCAAAGAAAATGACAAGTCAGAGAGACACAGAAGAGTGAAAGACGGGCTGCAGGTGTCTGCAGGTGACACGGCACGGTACCTGGGATGCTCTCTAACTTCCTTCTGAGCTCTTCATTCTCTTGTTGCAGAGAGATAACCTCCTGCTCCAGCTCTTGGCATCGAGGACAGTAGCCTTCCTCCTCCTCCTCCTCTTCCTCCTCGGGCAGCGTAGAAGAGGATGGGTGACCGTGGGATTCGGACGTTGCTGGGGAGGTCCAGCCACCTAACGTGTGCACGGGCGAGGTTGACAGAGGATCCACTTCGGCCAAGTGGCCGTACTCACTGACCGATGAGGTGTTTGGAGTTGGAAAGCTCCCCGAGAGCAGGTAATTTTGTAGGGAGTCAGTGAAAACCCTCAAGAAGGCCGAAGTCTGTTGTTTTCTTTGCATGTATTGCATCTCGACGTCGACACTGTCTGAGGTCTGGCTGTGGACCCCCTTCCCGAGGTGACACTGCTCCTGTCTTTCGTTGTAACTCGAGCTGCCTTCTTGCTTTACACAGGAAACCATGGACTGGGAGTGATTGGAATCCAGGAGTTTGCCTCCACAGTTTAAGAGGCTAAGAACGCGGCTGCACTGCTGGGCGAAGGCGTCTAAGATCATGCGGCTCTCTGCAACAAACAAGAAGACACATCAGTGGCCGGCAGTTGCGGGCAAGGGAGAAGCGAGGTCCTCACATGTACGTTGGACACTCAAACATATTAAAAATATGCATGTCTAGGGAACCAGCAGTTAGCGTAATGGCTATGTCGCTGGATTCCCACGTAGTCGACCGCGGTTCGCGTCCTGGACCCGGTGGCTTAGAACTCACGCCGGGCGCGTGTGCGTGCGTGTCCAAGATCCCGAGAGGAGAATGGAGGAGAAGGGACTGCGGCGTGATCATCCCCCCTGAGGGGCGATTTGTCACTTTCTATCTCTATGTCTCTCTCTGTCTGTCTGGCGAACGCACGTGCCCTATAGCGAAAACCTCTCCAAAAAAATATGCATGTCTAGGGGCCAGCAGATGGCATGGTGGCTAAAGCATTGACTCACACATGGTCAACTCTGTAGTTCGAGTCCTGGACCTGGAGGCTTGAAAATCATGCTGGGTACATGTGTGTGCACGCCTAAAATTCAGGGAGGAGAATGGAGAAGGGATTGTGGTGTGGCCATCCCCTCTGGAGGGGGTGGTTTCTCACTTTCTCGCTGTCTCTCTCTGGCAAGCACATGTGCCCTAGAACAAAAAAAATAAAATGCATTTCCACTCTCTATCATAAGCCAAGATGGCATGGTGAACCCAGTTTTTTCTTTTTCTTTTCTTTTGTTTTTTTGGAGAGAGATTTTTGTTACAGGGTACATGCACTCACCAGAGAGAGAAAGAGACAGAAAGCAAAAAATCATCCCCCAGGGGAATGGATCTGCCACAATCCTTTCTCCTCCAGTATCCTCTTGGGATTTGGGTCATGCACGCACACGTGTCCTGTGTGAGTTTGAAGAAGCCAGGTCCAGGACTCGAACCACAGTTGACCACGTGGGAGTCCACTGATGTAACCGTTATGCCATCTGCTGTGCTGGTCCCCGGTGAATTCATTGATAGCATTGCTTCCTGCTGTTCTGCACTGGTGACTGAGCCACCCCCAGTCTTTTACTCCAGGAAATGGCTGGACTGAAACTCTGGGCATGTGTAAGGACCTCCCTCTCCGTGGCGGTACCTGGCCTATGGGGGTACGAACTCACACCTTGGGCTGCATGAATATCCTTGCTCTAATGAATCAAGCCAGCCCCTGCAGACTCAATTCCTCACTGATAGGAGGGCTTACAGCAATCATTACTTCTATTTCTGGAGTGCCCTCACGCCCTTGCTATTAATCAGCGAATACAATCCCTGCCGAGACTACGGAGCTCCCAGACGCAAACTGGAGAAGAAAGATGTCTTTCTGAAGAGCTCACTAGAAGTCTAAGGTGAAGCAAGGCGTGGGCCTTCAGGCAAAGGATGAGCACGAAATAACCGTATGTGTTGTCCAGGATGGGCGTTCACTGCTCTTGTCAGTGCAGCGGTAACTTGAACTTGTCCAGGCCACCTCTCTCAGTATCATTGGAAAATCAGTAGCGCCTCTTCCATCTGTCCCATCTCCTGAAGCGGCCCATGGTGTGGGTGCTGGTTAGCCCACATCCATGAATTTTTTTTTTTTTTTTTTGCTTTTTTTGGGGAGGTTTTTTGCTATAGGGTGCATGCGCTCTCCAGACAGAAAGAGACAGAGAGATAGAAAGCGAGAAATCACCCCCCAAGGGGGATGGCCACACCACAATCCCTTCTCCTCCATTCTCCTCTCAGGATCTTGGGCACGCATGCACACGCACCCAGCGTGAGTTTAAGCCACCGGGTCTGGGACTCGAACCATGCTTGACTACATCGGAGTCCAGCAACATAGCCATTACGCTACCTGCTGATCCCTCACAGCCATGAATTCTAAAGCACATGAATAGTTGAGCAATAAAAAGCAAAAAGCAAGCAGACAGCAGTAAATACACAGCAAAAACAGGAAAAAAAAAAAAAAAAGCCAAACTGAAAATGTGACTTCATTTTATTCAAGGGTCTTGAGATCTGACCTTCTGACCCTAGACATAAAAGGTCTCTTCTTTCTTGACCACCAACTATAATGGGCCGTTACAAATGTAAGGCGGGAGCACCAGCCACGTGGTGTGGTAGTTAAGTCCGTCCCACACGACTGACTGCATGGTTCAAATCCCAGACCTGCTGGCTTGAAACAGAACAAATTAACAAAACAAAACAAAACAAAACAAAACAAAACAAAACAAAACATAATGCACTGGGCACGTGTGCATGTGTGCCCCAAATCTCAAAAGGAGAAGGGACCATGGCTTGGCTAACCCCCATGGAGGGTGCTTTCTCACTTTCCCTCTCTGTTTCTCTCTGCATCCTACAGCAAAAACGCTAAAAATAATAAAAAATCACGAATACGAAGAGGTATACTCATGTCACTGTCATTATTTCCATAACGACAGCAAAATACTGAAGAGTTGAGATGACAATACCTATCGTTTATGATATAAAAGTAACTAACCACTCGCGCTCTCTGAACACACCGACTAGGTGCATTTAGTTTTGGGAGCAGGGGTGGGGAAACTTCCGAAGTAAAAATGGTCAGGTGCTTGAGGGCTTCTATGGGGATGGTGTGCTGTTATAGTTGAAATAAAGATCCGGGACACTGACCAATAAAAACTACACCTCCGGAGACGTCTGTGTGGTACGCAATGCTCCCCTGTGTTCTTTTCTTATGGTTTCATGAAGTTACTAAGGTACTGGGGTAGAGGGGCCGAGTACCCTTTCCCACTGGGCAATACGGGGTAGGAAAAGCCTGCCGCACGGCCCCCAAACCTAGGAACCACGTCTTATGCCTTAGTCTGTCACTGTGCTGCTAACAGACATATCTGAGACTGAGAAATTTTTATAAAAAGCCATGGCGGGGACCAGCAGATGGTGTAATGGTTACATCATATGGTTGACCGCGGTTCAAGTCCTGGACCTGGCGACTTAAACTCATGCTGGGCGCGTGTGCGTGCGTGCCCAAGATCCCGAGAGGAGAATGGAGGAGAAGGGATTGTGGCGTGGCATCCCCCCATGGGGGAGTGATTTCTCGCTTTCTGTCTCTCTGGTGAGCGCACGCACCCTATAGCAAAAACCTCTGAAAAAAAAAAAATATATATATATACAATTGCATCCCAAAGCATGAACTCTTGGGGGACATCATGGACATCAAAACATGAACCTTTGGGGGGGGCAAAGAAAGATCCAACCATGACACCTCACATCTCCCAAATCTATAAAACACAATGAGGCCAGCTCTCTCCTGTTCAGGAGCAGACACACAGACCCTACGGAAACGCTTCCTGAGCCCGTGGTGTCGTGGTTTGGATAATGGCTTGTCCCCCAGGGTTCATGTGTTAGAATCTGGCTCCCAGTGCGATGGCATGGGGAGGCGGTGCGACTGTCAAGGGAAGGGCTGTAGTGGGTGGTGTTTGGCCCACAGGGCACCACCTTGAGCACGGCTCTGTGCTACCTCCGAGAGGGAGAGAGAAGGGGCAGCTGTTCCCAGGCCTCTCTCCATGTTTCTCCGCTATGTCGTGATGACTCAGAGGCCAGCCAGACACTCACCCACACTCTTGGACATCCCAGCCACCAGAACTGTAAGCCAAATACCCCTCCATTTTTATTTATTTATTTATTTATTTATTTATTTATTTATTTATTTAATTAGGTTTCTGTCATCAGGCACATACACTCACTAGAGAGATAGAGAGGGAAGTAAGAAACCACTCCTCAGGAAGGATGGCCACGCTGCAATCCCTTCTCCTCCCTTCTCCTCTTGGGATTTTGGGCACGCATGCACATGAGCCTGGTGTGATTTTCAAGCCACTGGGTCTGGGACTGCAGTTGGCCATGCGGAGGCCCAGCGCCTTAACTACCATGACCCCTGCCGGCCCTTCACCTCTATTTTCAAACTGCTGGGTCCAGGACTTGAAATGCAGTCGGCCATGTGGGATTCAGCTGCCTTAATCCCCACACCACCCCTGGATCTCATGCATACTGTTTAGTTATTTGATAGACAATGGCACATGGGCCTGCATCTGTCCTCCTGCCCAGAGCCCCACACACATGCTTTACACCTTTTGTCATTTCTTTAGTGACCAAAATCAAACCAACAAGAGAGCGAAGAGTTGAACCACACCTACAAGTAGGGGGATTTAAGACGTTGCGATCTCCCGTTTCTTTACTTTCTGGTTTTTGTTCTTTTATTAGCAAAATCAAAGGATGCTATTGATTGGGAATTTTCGATTCCAGCATGAGAGCAGTTTTCATTCATTTTAATCCTATAATCCCATTCTAGACCTGAAGTTGTATTTACTGCTTGCATTTTAATCAGCATAGTCCCGATTGATTTACGGCCTATACACCTTTAACATAACCTTGATGAAAGGGACAATATATGAAAGAAAAGGCTAGAATAGCATTGCCTGAAAAGCACTGCTTGAATATATTTGTTCAATGTCCTGCAAAACACTCAGCAGTTTTAATCATATTGATAAATCACATTAGGGCATAGATTCGAAGGGGAAAAAAATCTGACTTAGGGACAAGCGTGATTTGTTTTCCTAATTGAAGGATAAACTCATAACATGCTGAGAAAAAATCATTATGTAATATACTACATTATGAAGATAATCTATTAGAGTGCACTCAGACTACCAGAGAATAGCTACAATCATAAAATAATTCTCGCCTGCAGTTTTTAAATGCATCCTTCTGAATTTGTTCTCAGAATTGATACGTACAAAAATAGCAAGTGTAACCTTTAAAGCGGAATTTTTCCATTTTGCCAGACCTCAGAATATATGAATAGTCGTTTTAACACTGATACGTGGAAGAGGAGGCTGAAAAATATTACTATTGCTCTTGGTGGAAAACAGCAAATCTTCTCACTTAATACGTATTGCAGCCAGTGGTTCTTTGGCCTTCTAGAGAGAATATAATTAGAAATGCAGGTGCCATGCCCACTCCCACTAAGAAATGGAGATAAGTTCTGTGTTCCTACTAATACAATTTAGTGAC